TTAGCGGCGGTTTATCTCCCCGGTGTCCTCGAGCGCCCGCCAGGCCGGGCTCCGTCCGGCTGCTCGGCTGGGCAGGACTGCGTGGCCCGGCCCCGGCCGCCGGCGTAAATGAGGCCGGCTTAGAGGATCCTCGCTTTAGCCGCTGTGGCCAGCCGGCGAGCGGGACCGGCAGGTGGGCCTGCGGCTGGGCAGGCCGGGCGCGGGCCGGGGCACCGGCCACCGGGCCGGCAGGACTCCGACCCCCTGCTGAAGGGCTTCGAGTCCCGAGGCCCACACACTGTGCCGGCAAGAACAGCTCCTGGCGCTCCAGCCCGTCTGGCTCAGTGGGAGAGCTTCAGCCCTCCGACCGCAGGGTCACAGGTTGGATTCTGGTCCAGGGCACGTCCTCGGTGCCCGGCCCTGTCGGGCGCAGGCAGGAGGCACCCATCCATGTGCCTCTGTCACGTGGGTGCTTCTCGCTGCTTTCCCTCTCCCCCCCACGCCCCTCAAAGCCAATGGGAGAATGTCCTGGGGGGATAGACGCCAATCACAGGGCTGTGCGCCTGAGATTACACTGTACCTCAATTCTAACTGAAAAAAATTAATATTATTTTTAAATGTTCAAAAGCCAGGTGTGCGCATGCACGTGTGTGAGTGTGTGTGTGTGTGTGTGTGTGTCCGCGCTGGGCATGATGCCCAGGTGTCGGTCAAACGGCAGCGAGAGGGTGTGTGGCTCCATTCCAGACACACGTCTCCCCTTGGTTACTGGGCCCCAGACCTTCAGCTGCTCCAGGACACGGGAGGAAGTGGCAGGCACCTCTGCCCGCTGCAGTGGCCTCGCTCGGCAGCAGAGGGCGCCGGGGCTCCCCGCTCCCTCCTGGGCCCCTGCCAGTGGGGCGGGAACGTAGGGAACTGGCCGGCCAGGGCGAGGTCAGCGGGAGAAAGGGCCTCTGTCTGCCGCAGGCAGGAGACAGCAGGCCCTGTCGCTCTGGGCCGTGTGACCAGCAAGAGGGACACCTGTGCACAGAGGCTGCGGGAGGGGGTCACTGCTTGGCGTCCTTCGGGACAGGAAGCGGGAACGGGGGACAAACAGCCGGAGGAAGCACAGCCATCCCCGCCGGGCACGGCGAGCGGGCCAGGCCCAGTCCCGGCCTCCAGGGGTTCCCGCACATCTGGCTCCTGGAGGGGGCGGCTGCCCTGCCCGGCACCCTCAGGACCAGGATGCACTCCCCGTGAGCCCGCCCACTGCTCCCACACCCTGCAGGCCCCTCCCCTCCCCACCCTCCCCAGTGAGCCACCCACTGCTCCCCACAGGCCCCCAGGTCCCTCACACTGAGCTCAGAGCACAGCGGTGGCCTCACCATCGTGGTGGGACCCCGGAACCACATAACACAGGCCCCGTTTTCAGAGCAAACACTTGTAAACGCGGCAGCCGCTGGGCTGCCAGGCGCGGGAAGAGGAGCCTGACCTGACCTCACTGCTCCCAGGAAACCCGTGCCCAGCTCATCAGACGGTGTCAGGTGCTGTCTCACCCCGGGAGGGGTCCGCTGTCACCCACGGGAGCGGGGCCTGCACGGCTCGCCCTGCGCTGGGGGCGGGGGGGGGGAGGGTGGAGAAACTGTTTCCTAGGTTGTACTGAGCCCCAGGATGCCGTCCTGCTCAGGTTTGGGGGCGTCCCGCTGGGCCGGGCAGGGTTTTCGGGGAGCACTGGAGTCGCCATGTGCTCAGAGAAGCAGGCCGGCGCAGCTCCAGCTCCGAGGCCTTCGCGGGCGGGAGGCGGCAGGGACCCGGGCTGGGCGGGCCCGCAGCTGCGAGGCCCGGCGGCATGGAGAGGCCTCGGTGTCCAGCCGAGAGGGGGGTGTCCGGGGGGACACAGCTGGCCCTGGGAGAGGCGTCGTCATGGGGAGGACGGGCCGCCCGGCTCGGGGAAGGCGGGCGGCCCTGCCGCGTCCTGCCCACGGGCACCGGTGGCCACACTGGCTCCGTGTGGACAGGGGCCCGGCGCTGAGAAGACAGGGGGTGGGGGGTCCCCGCTCCTGCCTGAGAGACGGCCGCGGACGCCGGGCTGTGGATCGGACAGGCGTTTTGGTCCAAAGCAAACGCCATCTAGGCAGCATTCCATATAACACGTTCGCTGAGAATTAGCCGTTAACTTTAATAGAAAAATGCAATATAAAAATACTACTTTGTTAACACATACAGCGGGCACAGGACACCCCTCAGGGACACCCGTTCACGTCGGAAAGCCAGTGACACCCCCGCCCCGGCTTCCGTCACCATCACAGGCTCCGCCCCGGAAGGAAGACACAGACATAAATAAGCAGGGACGCTGACGCTGACCGAAGGCGTGGCGAGGGCTGCGAGTCCAGGAGCTCAGCCCGCAAGGCCCCAAGCGGTGGGTGGGAAGGGCGGAGGGAGGGAGGGAGGGAGGGAGGGAGGCGCTGGCCGGGGTGGGGGCGGTGGAGCGTGGGGAGCCCCCCGAGCCTCGTCTCCTGCCCGCTCGCTCGCCGGTCCGGCTCTCGGCAGGAAGAAGGCCGGGCGCCCCCTCCCCACGGTATTGCACGTTTCTCCCGAAGCTGTGTGAGCTGTCCCGTCGGTGCAGCCGTGTCCGTCCTGCGTCAGGCGAGCAGCAGGGGGATCTGCCAGACCATGAGGGAGGAGGCCGGCTCCTCGGGCGGCTGCTGCCGGGGCCGCCGGCCCACCCGCCGGTGCCCCTGGCCCCCGCAGGCCACCAGCGCCGAGCTGACCCCGGGCCTGGGGGCGCGGCGCCCGCCGCCGGGCGGGGCCTGCAGGCGGCTGTCCTCGGGCCCGGGCTCCGGGGACCCCGCCGGCCCCGCAGACGCGCTCCCGAGCGGCCCGGAGCCCGGCGAGCCCCCCAGCCACACGGCGCCCCCCTCGGGGGGCTCCGGGCCGGGCGGCGGGCTGTCCCCCGCCGTGTCCCCGTCGGCGCTGGGCGCGGCGGTGGCCATGACCAGGAACTTGACGGGGCCGTGGTGAGCGTGGTAGGAGACCATGCCGCGGCCTGCGGGGGGAGAGAGGGCGCGCTGTGGCCGGGGGCAGCGGGGGGCCCACCCGTCTCCGCGTCCCCAACGACGTCCCACACGGACCCTGCGGCCTGAGCGACAGTGACGGTTCAAACAGCTCCCAGGGGAGGCTCCCGGGGGCTTCTGGTCACGACAGAGAAAGCCTCCAGCATGGCGGCCGGGAGCACGGGCATGGGTTTAGTCAACAGCGTTTGGTTCTAGTGTCTCGCGCTTTCATTTTTCTACCTGTGGCCCGGTGCACGAAATTCATGCATAGGGCGGGGGGTGTCCCTCAGCCTGGCCTGTATCCTCTCCAATCTGGGGCCCCTGTGGAATCGGTCCTAAACCGGCAGTCAGACAACCCCCTCGCAATGAGGGATTACCCCTAACCGCTCGCCTGCCTGCCTGCTTGATCCCCCTAACCACTCTGCCTGCTGGCCTGCTTGCCCCCAACTGTACCCTGTCGCCCCCCCACCACCACCACCAGCCTGATCACCCCACCTGCCCTCCCCTCCTGGCCTGATCATCCCTAACTGCTTCTGCCTTAGCCCCGCCACCTTGGCTTTGTCTGGAAGGACATCTGGAAGGTCTCACGGTCTAACTGATTTTAGAGACAGAGAGAGCAAGGGAGAGGGAGAAAGAGAAAACACCGGTGGTGAGAGAGAATTGTCAGTCAGCTGCCTCCTGCACACCCCCAGTGGGAATCGAGCCCACAACCCGGGCCTGTGTCCTGGGAGGGAATCAAACCTGTGGCCTCTTGGTTCATGGGTTGGTGCTCAACCACTGAGCCACACTGGCCGGGCCGATGTGGTGCTTTCAAAGCAATAAAACAGTATTTCCCCGGGCCCTAAGGAGACACAGCTCCCCACGTCCGGATGGAACATGACGCATCTGAAACGTGTCAGCTTCAGGGACAAGGCGCCCACCTTCCTACCGTCTTCATTGCAGAAGGGTGTGGGGCGGAGGCAGGCTCCCGCGGCTTTAGTTCTGGGAGGACTTTCACTTAGAACGCGATGGACCCTCGTTCCAGGCCTTTCTCTGAAGCCCGGGCCCTGCACGCCGACTCCCCCGGCCGTCCTGGAGGGCTCCCTGGGGAGGGAGGCCTGGCCCGGGACCCGCGTCCCTGCCGCCACGTGCCTCGGCTGAGCCAGGTCTGCGGGCCCAGCTGTGCCCCCGGTGGCCAGGCCACGGCTCATTACAGGTCCCTGGCCGTGGCCAGCGGCCTCTCCTCGAGGGACAGCGGGAACCTCAGAGCCGCCCATCAGGGACACGGGGACGCGGAGGGGGCGGGGGGAGGGGCCTGAGCCTCACCTGGTGACTGAGCAAGAGGCTTGCACCCTCCTGACCGCGACGCCACGCCCGACACTCCCCCCGGGAGCTGTGGCCACACCGCAGAGGCACCGCACCGGGCCCGGGGCCCGGAACCCGGAACCGGGGACGACCCTGAGGCACGGAGCCCGGGCCACCGCCCGGCACTGAGCGAGGGCCAGCCACACGCGGGGCAGGACGCGGCTCAGAAACCAGGCTGCCGGGGAGGCGTGTGCACGCGGTGTAAGGACCTGCGTGCTCTAACACGCAATCACAGCACACGCTCCTTCGCAGCGGGAGGGGAGACGAGGTCTGGAACGCCCACAGCCTCCCGCACGGAGGCCGGCTGTGAGGGGCAGCTGCGGGCCAGGGCGGGGCGCCGGCTCACCTGTCACTTTGGGGATGCCCTGCAGGCGGGGGACGGGCAGCGCCACCACGAGCCCCAGGCTGGTGCCCACCATCAGCAGGCCGTGGCCGACGAGCAGGCTGGTCACCGAGAGCCGCTGGTGCCCTGCGGACGGACAGAGAGGGCGGCCGGGCGGCCGGGCGCTGTCTGAGCCGCGTCCACGGCCAGCCTCCAGGGGGCCCCGAGAGGGAGCTCCGCCCACCCGCACCCGTCCACGGCCCTGGGGCGTGTCCACCAGCCCCTCCGCGGAGCCCGCCCCCCGCCTCGCTCCGCTGGCACCCTCCAGGCAACGAGAATGCCACAGGTCGTCCCTGCACCATGTACTCCGTTAGCAAGCAAGGAGTCCTGAGGCGCACGTGTACACACACACACACACACACACACACACACGTGCACTTGTGCACACGCACACATCATATACCTCTGTGCACACATTCATGTGGGCACACATGCACTCAGACATATATGAACACCTATGGCTCACCCACATGCACGTTCACACATGCCCAGGGAGGGAGGTGCCGCCTGAGGCCCTGAGGGCCCCCCGGGGAGTCTCCCTCCTCTGGCTCCGCTGCAGGCCTTGCCCGGGGCCCAGCCGGGAGCTAATGCTGAGAGTCCCCTCTGGATGGGTGGCTGCACAGTAGCCCTGGATCTGACCCACCGATCCAGAGGCCGCCTGGCAACGCGGGGTCCTTGTCCTGACAGGACAGGCCCACACGAAACCGAGACAGGCTAAGCCCAGCTCCACCCCACCCTCCTCTCCACCCCGCTCCCCTCTCCACGCACGCCCACCCGTCTCCATCCCCCCTCCCCCCGCCTGGGGGACCCCCCGCCCCCGCACCTGGCAGCAGGTGGTGCACCGGCGTGGCGATGTTGATGTCCTGCAGGTGCTTGAGGGTTTCCGTGTGGAAGAGGCGCAGTGTGGACCCGGCGGTGAAGGCGATCCAGATGCCCACGCCGGCGATGGCCATGTGCGAGACCACCATGCCCTCCTCCTGGTGCGCCTCCAGCTGGCTCTGCGGGGGGGAGAGGCGTGGGCAGGCATCGCGGGCAGGGAGAGGCGGTGGGCGGGCATGGCGGGCAGGGCTGGAGTCACCCAGTCCTGCCGCCCGAGGCCATGGCCCGAGGCCTGGGGGAGAGCGGGGCGTGGCTGGGTGCCTGTGAGGGCCCGTCTGCCTGTGGGCCTGGGCCAGCTCTGCAAGGACTCAGTTCTCAGGGGGAAGAGGCCTCCTCAGCCTCAGTGGCTCCTTCACCTCGTCCGCCTCCCTCCGGGCAGAGCAGGGACCTCCATCCTGTCTCCCTCCGTCTCGTCTCCCTCCGTCCCTCTCCCTCCATCCTGTCTCCCTCCGTCCCTCTCCCTCCGTCCCTCTCCCTCCCTCCCTCTCCCTCCGTCCCTCTCCCTCCGTCCCTCTCCCTCCGTCCCTCTCCCTCCGTCCCTCCCCCTCCGTCCCTCCCCCTCCATCCTGTCTCCTTCTGTCCTGTCTCCCTCCATCCTGTCTCCCTCCGTCCCTCTCCCTCCGTCCCTCTCCCTCCATCCTGTCTCCCTCCGTCCCTCTCCCTCCGTCCCTCTCCCTCCGACCCTCTCCCTCCGTCCCTCTCCCTCCCTCTCCCTCCCTCCCTCTCCCTCCGTCCCTCTCCCTCTCCGTCTCCCTCCATCCGTCTCCCTCCCTCTCCCTCCCTCCCTCTCCCTCCGTCCCTCTCCCTCCGTCCCTCTCCCTCCCTCCCTCTCCCTCCGTCCCTCTCCCTCCATCCTGTCTCCCTCCGTCCCTCTCCCTCCGTCCCTCCCCCTCCGTCCTGTCTCCCTCCGTCCCTCTCCCTCCCTCTCCCTCCCTCCCTCTCCCTCCCTCCCTCTCCCTCCGTCCCTCTCCCTCTCCGTCTCCCTCCATCCGTCTCCCTCCCTCTCCCTCCCTCCCTCTCCCTCCGTCCCTCTCCCTCCGTCCCTCTCCCTCCGTCCCTCTCCCTCCGTCCTGTCTCCCTCCGTCCCTCTCCCTCTATCCTGTCTCCTTCCATCCTGTCTCCCTCCGTCCGTCTCCCTCTGTCCCTCTCCCTCCGTCCTGTCTCATGAGGAGACGCAGAGCCCAGGCTGCCTGCAGGAGTGAGGGGCTCCGTCCCCAGCCGCCCGGTGAGGCCCGGGACCGCCCGCTCCAGGCCGGGCTGCGGGGCCACAGTGGCCGGGACCAGAGGCGCCGGTCAGCCCGGAGCCGGGCGCGTCAGGGCGTTTCAGGGACGGCGTCACGGAGCCCGGCGGAGACCGGAAGGCGGGAGAGGAGACCCCTCCCGCCGAACCCAGGGCCGTGCACGGCTGCAGGGCCCCGCCCACCCCTGGGCTCGGACAGCCCGGCGGCCCCACACCCGGGGTGGGCGCTCACCCCCCCAGGGGGCTGGCTGGTAGGGACTTTTTTAAAAACCTCCTTAACCCACAAAACCACCCGAGAAGGCAGGCTTGTCCCCATTGCACAGATCTGATCACTGAGGCCCCGCTAAACATCACCAGGCCTCAGTGACCAGGTCTGTTAGCCGGTCTCTCTGTTTGCAGCTCAGGAAGACTTCTCCTATTCTGAGAACATCCGCTCCCAGCCCCAGAGGCAGCACACGAGCACGTGTTTCCCCAATCTTTAATTCAGGGGAGGCGATGGGGCGGGGCCACCCAGGGAGGCGATGGGCAGGGACCTCCCGGGGGGGGGCGATGGGCCGGGACCCCCCGGGGAGGCGATGGGGCGGGACCCCCCAGGGAGGCAATGGGAACCGGACCCCCCGGGGGGGCGATGGGGCGGGACCCCCCAGGGAGGCGATGGGGCGGGGCCACCCGGGGGGGGGCGATGGGAACGGGACCCACCGGGGAGGCGATGGGGCGGGACCCCCCGGGGGGCGATGGGAACGGGACCCCCCGGGGGCGATGGGGCGGGACTCCCCGGGGGGGGGCGATGGGAACAGGACCCTCCGGGGAGCGATGGGGCGGGACCCCCCGGGGGGGCGATGGGGCGGGACCCCCCGGGGGGGGGCGATGGGCCGGGGCCACCCGGGGAGGCGATGGGGCGGGGCCACCCGGGGAGGCAATGGGGCTGGGACCCCCCGGGGGGGCAATGGGAACGGGGCCACCCCGTGGGCACCCCCTCGGCACAGCTGCGCCCACCACTCACCTCCACGGCGAGCGTCTCCACGCCGATGACGGACACCTGGCCCCCCGAGGCCGCCCACAGCGTGTCCTCTGCCGCCAGCAGGCTCCGCACGGGCAGCACGCCCAGCTTGATCACCTTCCGGGGCTCCGGGTCCCAGGACCCGTCTGGAAAGGAAGCGTTTCCGATAGTTTCACTCACGGGCGGCGAGCTGTGCGTGGGGCGGGGGAAGGGTCCGGACGGTCCTAACGAGCAGAGCCTAAGTGTCCGCCCTGGCCCGCCGCTCAGGGGGGCTCTGGGGTCTCCGGTGGGCACCGTTGTCACGGCAACCTGGGCAGCTGGCCGTCCCACCCCGCACAGCTCTTGTGTGTCCCAGACACGTTATCCGCCCTCCGCCTCGGCTTCCGCCTCAGCAGAGGGGGACAGTGCTGCCACATGCCCTGAAGGCTGTGGTGAGAAGGGACGATAATGCAATGAAAAGCCCAGCACAGCGCCTGGCAGACAGGTGTTCCACAAAGACCACCACCTGTGTATGTAAAAGCCTGACACACAGTGTCCCCTGGGAGTCTGACCGGGAGAACGGGAGGTCGATCGCTCGCTACCTGCGCTGACCACCAGTGGGCGGTGTGGAACATGGCGGTGACCAGCGGTGGCGAGGGAAGAGGGAGGCAGGGAGGCAGGGAGGCGGGAACCTCATCGGTCCTGATGGCCTAACCACCCTACCTGTGCAGGAATTTCGTGCACCGGGCCTCTAGTTTACAACAATCACATACGTATGACGTGACTCAGTCATCGTAAGGGGAACTGTACCCAACGTAATTCGGCAAATGTTTAAACACACCCATTCCTGCTTTTATTTAAAAGTATGCATTGGTATGGGCTGTGTTATGGGGAGAAAACACATCTCCGCGGAAAATGAAGGACTTGCTTCAGGGCTGAAACCCAGGACACAGTGAGTGTTCCGGCTTCAGTACACTGCAGAGACCCGCCGAGGCGCCTCACCCGGGTGTGGTGAGACAGCGTGAAGAACAATAAAAATCCCTTCAGCCCGGATGCGTGGCTCCAGGGTTCAGCATCGATCCAGGAACCAGGTCAGGGTTCGATTCCCCGTCAGGGCACCTGTCCCGGTTGTGGCCTCGATCCCCAGTCGGGGGCGTGCAGGAGGCAGCCCATCAAGTCTCATCATCACGGATGTTTCTCTCTCGCTCCCTTTCCCTTCCTCAATAAATTATATTTTATTGATTTCAGAGAGAGGAGCGGAGAGGGAGCAAAGGATGGAAACAGCAATGGTGAAACAGTATCATCGATTGGCTGCCTCCTGCTGGGGATGGAGCCCAAAACTGGGGCATGCCCGACCTGGAATCGAACTGTGACCTCCTGGTTGCTAGGTCAGCACTCAACCACTGAGCCAGGCAGGGGGGGACCTTTGTTCTGCTAAGGGCCACGTGGATATTTATAACATCACCAAAGGCCCAGTGCACGAAATTTGTGTGTATGGGGGGGGGGGGGGGAAGTCCCCTCAGCCCGACCTGCACCCTCTCTAATCCAGAACCCCTCAGGTGATGTCTGACTAAACCAGTAGTGGGACATCCCTCTTACAATCTGGAACCGCTTGCTTCTAACCACTCGCCTACCTGACTGCCTGGTCACCCCTAACCGCTTCTGCCTGCCTGCTAGCCTGATCACCCCTAACTGCCCCCCTGCTGGCCTGATCACCTTTAACTGCCCCCCTGCAGGCCTGATCACCCCTAACTGCTCCCCTGCTGGCCTGATCTCCCCTAATTGCCCCCCTGCTGGCCTGATCTCCCCTAACTGCCTCTGCCTTGGCCCCTGCACCTGGGACCCAGGCTTCCCTCCCTCTGGCCGGCCACAGGCACCTGGGACTCCCAGTGGCTTCGCCCGGGCCCTGGCTTTGTCAGGAAGGCCGTCCAAAAGACATCCGGTCGGACTAATTAGAGTATTACCCTTTCTAATAATGTATAGATTCACAGGCCATACAAAGTGACCACCTTAAAAATGAGCTGCTCTGTGTGGTCACACATTTAATTAACTCACCCCGGTGCCGTGGTAGGGCCAGACCAAACGATTCCAGGGGGCTTCTATGGCCCGCAGGCCAGACGTCCCCTCCCACCGTCACACCCCCCACCCCCCCGCCTTACAGGAACAGGAGACCGGAGCCCCGGGGGCCGCGAGCCATGGGGACGGCGCGCTCTGCAGGCAGCAGGCCCCGCACCCCGTGCCCGCCCGTGGCATCGGCCGTCAGCCACCCGCCCGCGTGGCCGTACCTTGAGCCTTGGCGTAGACGGCCACGGCCCCGTCCACCAGGCCGGCGTACAGGCTGTGCGGCGAGCAGGCCAGGCTCAGCACCGCGGCCTTGTCGGGCGCCGAGAACTGCTGCAGCCGCACCTTCTTGGCGCGCGGGCTACTCTTGTAGACGGAGATGCTGGGGGCGGAGGGCGAGCGTGAGCCGCCTGCGGCCGCGCGGCCGGGCCCGGCTCTCCACGGACGCCCACCCCCTCCTCCGGAAACGCGAGCCGTGTCTACGGGCTCCGCCACGCCGGCCTCCCTCTGGCATTTTAAAGGAGAAGTTTAACCCGGCTGGCACGGCTCAGTGGTTGAGCATCAACCTATGAACCAGGAAGTCACCGTTTGATTCTCAGTCAGGGCGCAGGCCTGGGTTGTGGGCTTGAGGACCCCAGGGTGGGGCGTGTGGGAGGCAGCTGATCAGTTATTCTCTCTTCATTAATGTTTCTATCTCTCTCTCGTTTCCTCTCTGAAATTGACAAAAGTATCTTTCAAAAAATAAAGTAGAGGAGAACTATTGGGCTCCAAAGAAACCAGTCCCTCCCATGTGGTGGGGAATTCCCATCAGGAGGCGTGTCCGTGGGCGTCCGTGACCAAGCAGACTGAGGCTGTCTGTCCCCAGACACGCCTCACCGACGGGCGTGGCTGCGGCCTCACCCTGGCCCCGTGCCGGGCCGAGGGCCTGCAGGGGCACCGTGACCGGGGGCGCCCACCTCCCTTCCTCGGTGCCCAGGCAGACGGTGGGCACGCCCGGCGAGGCGCCCGCAGCGGTCCTGGCCGTGGACCCGGGCTCGGGGGCGGGGCCGGGCGGGGGGCCGCGCCCGGCGGGCAGGTGCACCATGCACAGGATGCGGGACTCCACGTTGAAGCACTCGATGACCTTGGGCGTAGTGTTGTGGAGGGAGACGATGGCGACCTGGCCCATCTGGCCCGCACAGCTGCCGATCTGGGGAGAGGGGGTGGGGGACGTCAGGAGGGGAGAAACGGGCGTGAGGCACCCACAGCCCACGGGACCGGCACTGACCACGGGGACCAGGGCAGCGCCCGGCAGCCGCCCGATTACAGAGCCCGCCTTCCCACGTTAACGAGGTGGTTTTTCCACAAGCGAGCGGGAAGGTTGGGCCAGGGGCGGGCGGAGGGGTCAGTAGGGACACGGAGGGCACACCTGATGTGTTCAACAATAAAGATTTGTTTTTTTAAAAAGTAGGTCATTTTTCTCTTAATGTGGATAAGAAGAACAGAGTTTTTATGTTTTGATCCTATCTCCTGTGCTTTGGAAACCACACCCCTCACTCTGAAAAGGATGTTCACACACAGCGTAAAGTCACATGAAGCAGATTGATTCCAGCTTTAGGGAATCTCACCCGCCGTTTAACTAGGAAAGCTGCTCAGAGAGGGAAGCACCGGCCGGCGTGGCTCAGGGGCTGAGCATCGGCCTACGAGCCAGGAGGTCCCGGTTCGATTCCGGGTCAGGGCACAGGCCTGAGTTGCGGCTCCATCCCCAGTGCGGGGTGTGCAGGAGGCAGCCGATCAGTGGTGCTCTCATCAGGGATGTTTCTCTCTCCGCCCTCCCTTCCTCTCTGACATCAATAAAAGGATTTTTAAAAGAGGGGGGAAGTCATAAGCAGGCTCCAGGTGGCCACAGCGTCTACCTGGCGGTGCCGTGGCCCTGCCCACGCTGGCCTGCTGCCGGACCCCGTGGCCCTCCCGACATGAACGGAAATGCAGCTGCTTTTCAGTGGGACAGAGTCAGGCCTCGTTGGACAAGAGCGGATGGAAAGGGAGATAGGGGGGTGCTGTGCTGCACGGACGGTTTCCCTCCCCCGGTTTGGGATGCGGTGACGCCCGTGCTGCTTCCTGCGTTTCCTGCCACAGATGGCTTCCTGCTCCACAGCCTTTCGGGGACAGGCCGTCACCGGCCTGCCCTGGGGCTGGGGGGCGGGGGCCGGGGGCGGGGGGCGGGGCCGGGGCCGGAGCGGAATAGCCAGGAGAGGGAAGGCGGCCCCAGCTGCAGGCCCCGCTCCTGGAGAACTCCTCCGAACGCCCTCACAACCGAGGGCCACGCCTGTCTGTCCGTCCTCCCGCGGAGCGAAGGGCTCGGCCAGCGGCCGGCCTTCTGGGACGACACCCGCGGGACACTGGGTGCTCACGGGGCACGGGGCGCCTGCCATGCACCGACCGGAACGCCGCTGCCACACAGCACAACCACGGGCCGTGTCTCCCTCGGCACGAAGGTCTTCCACTGCTGTGTCCGGCAGAGAGCCAGCAGCACCTGGCGGGCTGGGGGCGGGGGCAGGGGACCCTCTCACTGAACCACCGAGGACGGGAGATCTGGGCGGGTCCGTGGGTGAAGCCGCTGACTCTGTCTAAGAGTCTGTGAGTGAAGCGGCTGTCCCCGCACTGAGTGTGACCGCAGCTTCCGGGAGGAGAGCCCGCAGCGCCCGGAGGGCTGGGCCAGGCCCGCGGGGACGCCCCCGGTCGGACGCGGCCGGGACGGCGGCAGCCACAGCCCCTCCCACCGCAGGCACTTACCCACAGGAAGCCCCGGGCTGCCCTGGGGGGGTCCGGCCGGCCCGCGCGGCCAGGATGGGGCTCGGGGGTGTAGACGGCACACTCCATCTGAGGGAGAGGCGGGCGGGTCTCACAAAGGCAGGCTCCCTGAGCCAGAAGCCAGGCCGTGGTCCCACGTGGACTCTGGGTGCTGCCGTGCGTGGCACAGCGGCCCCGGGTGGGTGCACCCGCTCCACGGCCCAGCACCCAGTGCCACCCACGGCGGGCACAGCTTCGGACCAGGGGGTCCCGCGTGGGCCCTAATGCTGACCCCAGAGCGGGAGTGACCGCGCTGACCCGGGACCCAGCACTCGGCACTGGACTCCCCCCGCCCGTCCCTCACTCCCCCCGCGGCGATGAGTCCTAAGGGGCGAGAAACCCCACCCCATCCTCCGAACGGGACGGCCCGCGGCACCTTGGGCTCCTGCTGCTTGGCCACGGGCACCGGCATGTGCGCCAGGAGCAGCGGGTGCCGGTCCTTCGGGACCTGGTTGCCATCGTCCTCCACACAGAACCAGCCCAGGTGGTTGTCCTCCTCTGTGCGGGGAGAGAGGGCGGCGTGAGGGCCCCCCTCATTCCGGAGCGGACCCCCTCTCCGCCAGGGGCGCCCCCTGCTGGGAGACCCTCCCTCCTGCTAGGAGACCCTCCCTCCTGATGGGTGACCCTCCTGATGGGTGACCCTCCCTCCTGCTGGGAGACCCTCCCTCCTGCTGGGTGACCCTCCCTCCTGCTGGGTGACCCTCCCTCCTGATGGGTGACCCTCCCTCCTGCTGGGAGACCCTCCTCTGGGTGACCCTCCCTCCTCGGGTGACCCTCCCTCCTGCTGGGTGACCCTCCCTCCTGATGGGTGACCCTCCTGATGGGTGACCCTCCCTCCTGCTGGGTGACCCTCCCTCCTGATGGGTGACCCTCCTGCTGGGAGACCCTCCTGCTGGGAGACCCTCCCTCCTGCTGGGTGACCCTCCCTCCTGCTGAGTGACCCTCCCTCCTGCTGGGTGACCCTCCCTCCTGCTGGGAGACCCTCCTCTGGGTGACCCTCCCTCCTCGGGTGACCCTCCCTCCTGCTGGGTGACCCTCCCTCCTGATGGGTGACCCTCCTGATGGGTGACCCTCCCTCCTGCTGGGAGACCCTCCCTCCTGCTGGGTGACCCTCCCTCCTGCTGGGAGACCCTCCCTCCTGATGGGTGACCCTCCTGATGGGTGACCCTCCCTCCTGCTGGGAGACCCTCCCTCCTGCTGGGTGACCCTCCCTCCTGCTGGGAGACCCTCCCTCCTGATGGGTGACCCTCCCTCCTGATGGGTGACCCTCCTGATGGGTGACCCTCCCTCCTGCTGGGAGACCCTCCCTCCTGCTGGGAGACCCTCCCTCCTGATGGGTGACCCTCCTGATGGGTGACCCTCCCTCCTGCTGGGAGACCCTCCCTCCTGCTGGGTGACCCTCCCTCCTGCTGGGTGACCCTCCTCTGGGTGACCCTCCTCTGGGTGACCCTCCCTCCTGATGGGTGACCCTCCCTCCTGATGGGTGACCCTCCTGATGGGTGACCCTCCCTCCTGCTGGGAGACCCTCCCTCCTGCTGGGAGACCCTCCCTCCTGCTGGGTGACCTCTGCTGGGTGACCCTCCCTCCTGCTGAGTGACCCTCCCTCCTGATGGGTGACCCTCCCTCCTGATGGGTGACCCTCCTGCTGGGTGACCCTCCCTCCTGCTGGGTGACCCTCCCTCCTGATGGGTGACCCTCCCTCCTGATGGGTGACCCTCCTGCTGGGTGACCCTCCCTCCTGCTGGGTGACCCTCCCTCCTGCTGGGTGACCCTCCCTCCTGATGGGTGACCCTCCCTCCTGCTGGGTGACCCTCCCTCCTGATGGGTGACCCTCCTGCTGGGTGAGCCTCCCTCCTACTGGGTGAGCCTCCCTCCTGCTGGGTGACCTCTGCTGGGTGACCCTCCCTCCTGCTGGGTGACCCTCCCTCCTGCTGGGAGACCCTCCCTCCTGCTGGGTGACCCTCCCTCCTGCTGGGTGACCCTCCCTGCTGCTGGGTGACCCTCCCTCCTGCTGGGTGACCCTCCCTCCTGCTGGGTGACCCTCCCTCCTGCTGGGAGACCCTCCCTCCTGCTGGGAGACCCTCCCTCCTGCTGGGTGACCCTCCCTCCTGCTGGGTGACCCTCCCTCCTGCTGGGTGACCCTCCCTCCTGCTGGGTGACCCTCCCTCCTGATGGGTGACCCTCCCTCCTGCTGGGTGACCCTCCCTCCTCGGGCTGACCCTCCCTCCTGCTGAGTGACCCTCTCTCCTGCTGGGTGACCCTCCCTCCTCGGGGTGACCCTCCCTCCTGCTGGGAGACCCTCCCTCCTGCTGGGTGACCCTCCTCTGGGTGACCCTCCCTCCTGCTGGGTGACCCTCCTCTGGGTGAGCCCCTGCTGGTGAGCCTTCGCTTAAACACATGCTTAGGGGGCCTGGCCTGTGTGGCTCAAGGGGTGAGTGTTGACCTATGAACCAGGAGGTCAGGGTTTGATTCCTGGTCAAGGTCACATGCCCAGGTTGTGAGCTCCATCCCCAGTGGGGGGTGTGCAGGAGGCAGCCGATCCATGCTTCTCTCTCTCTCTCTTCCTCTCTGACATCAATAAAAACATATCTTTAAAAAACAAAACAAAAGCCATTCTCAGGGGGATGTATGGCCATGGTCCAGGGCCTCCTCCCCAACCAGACTGTCTGTCTCTCAGGCACCTATTTTGTCTGAAGCAGGGAGCTAGGACCCGCTGGGTCTGGGGACACGCCTCACCTAGGGGACACGCCTGGTCTAGGGACACACCTCTCCTAGGAGACATGTCTGGTCTGGGGACACCCCTCACCTAGGGGACACGCCTGGTCTGGGGACACGCCTCACCTAGGGGACATGCCTGGTCTGGGGACACACCTCTCCTAGGAGACATGTCTGGTCTGGGGACACACCTCTCCTAGGGGACATGTCTGTTCTGGGGACACGCCTCACCTAGGGGACACGCCTGGTCTGGGGACACACCTCTCCTAGGAGACATGTCTGGTCTGGGGACACGCCTCACCTAGGGGACACGCCTGGTCTGGGGACACACCTCTCCTAGGAGACATGTCTGGTCTGGGGACACGCCTGGCCTGGGGCGCCGCCTTACCCAGTGCGAGCTTGGCCATCTGCAGGCTGCTGAGCCAGGACTCCTTGCAGGCGGGCGAGAAGGTGCTGAACACGGCCGTGAAGAACGTGGGCCGCCCGGACCTGCGGGGTCGAGGGCTGTCTCAGGGCCTCAGCGCATGCCCGTCCCCCCGTGGCCGTCCCCCCCGTGCCCGTCCCCCCGTGCCCGTCCGCCCGTCCCCCCGTCCCCCCGTGCCCGTCCCCCCGTGCCCGTCCCCCCGTCCCCCCGTGCCCTCCCCCCCGGGCCCGTGTCCCTGTGCCATCGCCCCGGGCCATCGCCCCGTCCCCGTGCCCCTGGGCCATCGCCCCGTGCCCCCGTGCCCTCCCACCCGTGCCCGTTTCCCTGTGCCATCACCCCAGGCCATCGCCCCGTCCCCGTGCCCCTGGGCCATCACCCCGTGCCCCCATGCCCGTCCCCCCGTCCCCGTGCCCCTGGGCCATCGCCCCGGGCCATCGCCCCATCCCCGTGTCCCTGTGCCCATCGCCCCGGGCCATCGCCCCGGGCCATCGCCCCGTCCCCGTGTCCCTGTGCCATCGCCCCGGGCCCTCCCCCCCGGGCCCGTGTCCCTGTGCCATCGCCCCGGGCCATCGCCCCGGGCCATCGCCCCGTCCCCGTGTCCCTGTGCCATCGCCCCGGGCCCTCCCCCCCGTGCCCGTGTCCCCGTGCCATCACCCCGGGCCCGTGTCCCTGGGCCATCGCCCCGGGCCATCGCCCCATCCCCGTGTCCCTGTGCCCATCGCCCCGGGCCATCGCCCCGGGCCATCGCCCCGTCCCCGTGTCCCTGTGCCATCGCCCCGGGCCCTCCCCCCCGGGCCCGTGTCCCTGTGCCATCGCCCCGGGCCATCGCCCCGGGCCATCGCCCCGTCCCCGTGTCCCTGTGCCATCGCCCCGGGCCATCGCCCCGGGCCATCGCCCCGTCCCCGTGTCCCTGTGCCATCGCCCCGGGCCCTCCCCCCCGTGCCCGTGTCCCCGTGCCATCACCCCGGGCCCGTGTCCCTGTGCCATCACCCCGGGCCATCGCCCCGTCCCCGTGCCCCCGGGCCATCGCCCCGTGCCCCCGTCCCCCCGTGCCCTCCCCCCCGGGCCCGTGCCCCTGGGCCATCGCCCCCGTGCCCTCCCCCCCATGCCCGTGTCCCTGTGCCATCGCCCCGGGCCCTCCCCCCCGTCCCCGTGCCCCTGGGCCATCGCCCCGTGCCATCGCCCGGGCCGGCCACGGGCACTCACCTGTCCTGCTTGCCCGGGAGCTGCAGCTGCAGCCGGCAGCAGTCGGCCGCGCGGATCTCCTCCTCCTTCCGCAGGACCAGCCTCTGCAGCCCCGACGCCCAGTCGTGGGCCACGGCCTGGTTCAGGTTCTGGGTGGACACGGCATTTCCTTTAGTGATCTCTACTGGTGGTGTGACAGAGGCCCCTCTGCCCCCGGGCCTAACCCCAGCCCTGTGCCCCGTGTCCCCCAGGCCCTCACTCCGCCCCTGTACGCCCCCCGCCCCCCCAGGCCCTCACCCCAGCCCTGTGTCCCTCTGTGCCCCCCCCAGGCCCTCACCCCATCCCTGTACCCCCTCTGCCCCCCCAGGCCCTCACCCCATCCCTGTGCCCCTCTGTGCCCCCCCCAGGCCCTCACCCCAGCCCTGTGCCCCCCCAGGCCCTCACCCCGGCCCTGTGCCCCCTCTGTGCCCCCCCCCCAAGGCCCTCACCCCAACCCTGTGTCCCCCCCAGGCCCTCACCCCGGCCCTGTGCCCCCTCTTCCCCCCCCAGGCCCTCACCCCGGCCCTGTACCCCCTCTTCCCCCCCCAGGCCCTCACCCCGGCCCTGTGCCCCCTCTGCCCCCCCAGGCCCTCACCCCAGCCCTGTGTCCCCCCCCAGGCCCTCACCCCGGCCCTGTGCCCCCTCTTCCCCCCCCAGGCCCTCACCCCGGCCCTGTGCCCTTCTGTCCCGCCCCCTGGCCCTCACCCCGTCCCCGTGCCTGTGGACCATGCATATGTGCACAAGAGGTCTGTGTTGCTCTCTCCCACCCACCCACCCTCCCTGTCTCTCCTCTGAGATTTGCAGCCTGTTCCATGCATCTCTGAATATTTTTAAAATATATATTTGTATTTAATTCAGAGAGGAAGGGAGAAGGGGAAAGAGAGAAATATCAAAGATGAGAAGGAATTATTGGTCAGCTGCCTCCTGCACGCCCCACTCTGGGGATCAAGCTCACAACCCGGGCATGTGCCCTTGACCGGAATCAAACCCGGGACCCTTCAGTCCGCAGGCCGACACTCCATCCACTGAGCCACACCAGCCAGGGCATGGGTATTTTCTGTTCATCAGTATGAGTGAGACCATGCGACCCTTGTCTTTCTCTGACGGCTTATCTCTCTTAGCTGAGGGCTGGGTGGGAGCGCTGGGGGAGACCAGAGCATTTTAGAGTGAGAAGGGCCGGGCGGGGGCGGTGGGAGCAAGGCTGTCACACAGAGAGCCCGGGAGGCGGCCGCGGGGAGGTGCTGAGCGTTTCCATGACAGCTCACCCCTGGGGTCTGCAAAGGGACATTGTCTACACCCCACCCCCTGCCCGCCCCATCCAAACCAGGGCACACGTCCACTCTGGTCTCATCGCACCCTCGCCTGGCACCTCCCGGGACCCCGCCGGCCGCCCCCGCCGGCCGGCCGCACCTGGTAGTGCCCCCGCAGGTCCCCGACGAGCTGGGCGATCTGCCCCACCACGTTGAGGTCGTGCAGCAGGTTCTGCAGGTCCTGGTACAGCTGCCCGGGCCCCGCATGGACTCTGTCTGCAAAGCAGGCACCGGGGGCGGGGCTGCGGCCGCACGGCCGGAGGACGACCATGGACAGACGCCGCCGCTCCCCGTCTTCACGCAGTGAGCACCTTCAGGCGTTGGGAAGTGCCGACCTCTCTTTTTATTTTCAAACCACAGGCCCGGTGCACGACACTCGTGCACTGAGGGGGGTCCCACAGCCGGCCAGGGCCCTCTCCCAGTCCGGGACCCCTCGGCGGACACCCCCACGGGGTGCTGACCACTGCCGCAGAGGGGGGAGCGGCTCCTGCCACCTGCACCCACCAGCCATGAGGCTGGCTTCTGGCTGAGCAGCGCCCCTGTGGGAGCGCACTGACCACCAGGGGGCACCTCCCGCATTAGCGTCTGCCCCTGGAGGTCAGTGCACGTCACGGCGACCAGTGCTTCCCCCGTTTGGTTGATTTGCATATTCGCCTTTTATTACTTAGGCTAATTTCAGGTTTACAGAGGACTAACCTCAGCATCTCCGTCACCACGGAAACCACCCCATGGGACTGGACCGGTGGCACCTGAGCTCACGGCCGTCCGGGCACAGAGACGGCCTCCTCCCGGACACTTTCCGTGGAAATGCACAGCCCGGCACATAAGGGCTGTGGGCCTGATCCCCAGTGTGGCACATGCAGGAGGCAGCCGATCAACGATGCTCTCTCCTCATTGATGTTTGTCTCTCTCCCTCTCTCTAAAATATAAATTAAAATATATATTATATATATTAAAAAGTAAACTTAAAAAATCTAGTCTGAAGACTATCCTATGTAGTAAAGAGGTAATGTGCAAACTGAGCCTTATGCCCTCACACAAGATGACTGCCCCCATGTGGTGAAAGATGGCCACCACAAGACAGTCAGCACGGGAGGGCAGTTGTGGGCAACCAGGCCAGCCGAGGCTCGAACCTAAGCCAGCAGTTGGACATCCCCCAAGGGGTCCCAGTTCGGAGAGGATGCAGGCTGGGCTGAGGGACACCCCCCTCCCCCATGCGTGAATTTCATGCACTGGGCCTCTAGTCCTATATAATAAAAGTCTAATATGCAAATCAACCCAACAGTGGAACACCCGGTCACTAAGATACAAACACTGACCACCGGGGGCAGACGCTCAGCGCAGGGCTGCCCCCAGCCCACAAGCCCAGGCCAGCCAAGGCGGGTGCCAGCAAGGGGTGCCCCCTCACCCTCTGATCGCCCCACTGGTTGCTGCACAGATGGGTCCTGGTCGCCGAACGGGTCTGAGGATCCTGCCTGTGCACGAATTTCGGGCCCCAGACCTCTGGTTCACAAACAATAAGCGTGAACAAGATGGGCAGCTGAAGCATTCCACCGTACGTGATGCTGTCCTCTCACTTCCCTGGGAAGTCCCAGCCCAGGG